CGATGCAAGCGGTGACATCTTAATTTTTGCAGGATTAGAAACTATATTTTTAGGGTTCAATTGTTAATTTTGGCATTTTTAAGAACCAACAAGGAGTTTTTTTTCGCGTAATCCTGAGAGACTTTGTGCTCCAAGTAACTTGGTACCTCGAGTAACCTTTTCACTTCAAAATAAGACACTCCAAATCAAATAAAATATTTTATTTAATTTTGACCAGTATTTTGGCACTTATGAAGACTATAGACTTTATTTCGGCCGATAGTTTTGTATATTTAGTATGAACATTTGTATAGAAGTGCCCACATTACACCGATTTGGTATCGCCCGATTCCTCATACAAATTGGAAACAGACCAAACTATCAGCCAGTGTCTTTAGTCTGCGGGGTCTTACAAAGAAAGAAGCAGTGAAAATATTAGGCTGGTTTTAGTGTCACGTGGACTGTCAGTGCGGATCGCTCCGCACAGCCGATCTGTATGAACTGCTAGGGAGCGAGCGGTTCCTCCGGACCGCATTACTCTAAAACGCTCCCTAGAAGTTCATACAGATTGGATGTGCGGAGCGGGTCCGCACCGGACGGTCCGCGTGACACTAAAACTTAATGCTGCCAAATTATTGATAAAATGGAAATGTTACCGCTCGCATCAGAAGTAAGGGCACTGCCGGCACTCTTGTAAGAATAGAAAAGAACACGCGGCGTCGCTCGTGCTATGAGGTGCCAAACGAAACGGCCGCGCTGTCGGAGTATTTTGTGGTGTGGGTCATGATCGCTAAACGATTCTTCTGGAGATGAACGTAGTCTACATTGGACGTGAAATTGAATCTGTATCAGTGTTATTTTGTCTATGGAGCAAACTTATATTCTGATTTATACAGTGTGTTATTTTTATACTTGATCAAACAAAGTAGAATCTATTGCTCAAATGCAACAACTTTTACGGAGGGACCAAAGTTCAAATATTAAAAATACCTGTCCATACAAAAATCATTGAAAAACCTTGAAAAGGAGGCTGACAATAGTGACTGAGTTTCTTGCGCTGCTTCTTCTCAGCACTGGCCCATTTATTGTCCCGAAGCAGTGGTAGGGTTGATATTGGGACGTGTAAAAGCGCTTTTTAAAAGCCTATTTGCAAAAATAAATGAATTTTATGAATTTTAATTTTATTAATTTTTAATTTTAATTTATTTTATTAGCAGTCATTTAGTATGGACATGTAAATATTGTTTTAGAATTTGATATTGGTCCTGTAGAAAAAGTAGTTGTATTTGAGTAGTTAGTATTCACCCTTTTGTTTGATCAACTTAAAAATATCCTGTATATCAATGAATTACCAATCGTGTAGTGTAGGGAGGATACTTAGTAAACAATAATTACTATTCCTTTTTTTGGACTCAAGTCCAGAAGATAAGCGGTGATGGTCCACACCACATATACTAAATGAAATTAGATTAGTCGTTTTAATTATCTCGATGTGATCCCCGTACGCTAGCACCCGAACTAGCTCGACTAGTGGAGGCCAAATTCTAAAGTAGACGTAAGTTGTCGCGAATCTGCGCCTGTAGACAGTGCTGCTTCGCTCCGAGTCGAAATATCGGTTATACCAGAGTAAATACAAATGAGTAGGTCATCTTCATAGAAACGCACCGAGCGCGGTTTGTATGTGGTCAATACGTATGCGGCGCGCACGCACGTCGCACACACTGACAAAATTTAGCGGGAAGTTGATTCGAATTCCCCTGAAAGACCTACTCATTTGTATTTACTCTGGTTATACTGGCTAGTGTTTTATTCGAGTCAGTTGTATTGTGAAAAAAATGTGTGGACCTCCACTTCTTGTATAGTTTTTAGACATAGGGTAGGAGACAAGTTATGTGCTCAATTCAATTTGTAGATGAGATACATACCATAGACATTGCAATTGTGAAGTGTCTAAGTAGCTTAGATGGAAGAGCAGTCATCCGGCAAGCGAAAGGTCGTGGGTTCTATTCCCGCCTTAGGCAGTTCGATTTTTTCAAGTTATAATTTTCATTTTAATCTGGTTTGTCCAATAAGTAGGTACAATGAATAATATTTTTATGAAGTGTTGACTAAAATTTTACCATTTTATTGATATTATTATTATTATTATTATTAGTGTATGAACGACTCGAATAAGACTATGTACGGACGACAGCACGTCGAGCTAAACATTGTGGCACTTATGATGTAGCTAGTTGTAATGGTGTTATTTTACTATAAACATGTGTAGTCTAATGTGCTGTCGCTGTACAAAGCAGTTCGACGATTCGGTTAACGTATTAAGCACTGTCTACAGCGCCTGCTGTCTGTGTTAGTTACGATTAGAGTTTATTTGAGTATTTGTTATATTTTCTCAGGGCTGCCCTCGCCTGGAAGATAAATTTTAGAGAGCGTAGAATGGATGTTAGACGCGGGTATGTTGAAATTATTGGGCCGCCATTTTGTGGCTGGAGAACGTTCTGGAAACTAAAATATATTGTCGTGTATTAATAGAAGTGCACCAAATCAAATGTCCACGAGATTTTATAGGACTGTAGAAAAAAAATATTGAAGATATTTCAGTTTATTGGTCTAGGTCTTAACTCAGTCAGTGCCTGAGGTATGGAACGGAGCGGAGCGGCACGGAAAGGTGTTTTTGAAACGTTAATGTCAGCGACAATTCAGATTTGTGTGCTCTGTCACGTCATAATAATATGTCAATGTCACTCAGCGTTGCCAGCTTTTTTTTTCGCCAAGTCGGGACTTTGTTACTTTTTGAGTGGGATTCTTCCGTCAGAAGCGGGACATAGTAAAAAAACGTATATAATCAAAGGTTTTCAAATATTTATCTTTTTATTTGACTTAAAATTACGTTTACGTGACAATAGATAGCAAAAGTAGCCATAGAAAATGTATTTTAACAAAAAAAATATATTTTAAATCAGATTTACTCTATCGTTAAATTCGCCTTTAGAATAAAAAAAGTTAAAAAAGTTTTATTCTTTAGAATAATATGGCGTTTAAAACAATAGTCTGGTGAAGTGAGTGTCTCTCTCCGAAAAGCGGGACCGAGCCTGTCCCGCGCGGGACATTTAAATTTGATTTAAAAATCGGGACGTCTGGCAACGCTGCCTCCTCCCGTGCTACTCCCATAATTATATCAGACACTGACTGAGTTAAGCGCTAGAACTATAGTAATGGAGATATTGAAGTTTTTAAACTTAAGTTGGACTTGTTTTGTGAAATCCTTAAACCTTATACAGGAATGTTTGTACATAATATTATTTTTTTAAGTTTAGATGATGTCCTAGTAACAAAAGTATATAATTTTTTTAAACAATGTATCTGTAGTCAACAAAAATTGGTGAATTTTTCGGCAAAAAATGTTTAGCGTCGGCCTGGCAAAAGAATAAAAAAAACTATTGTGAATGTTAATTTTAAAAATAATGTAAAAAAGATATCAAATTATTGAGTTCTGTATGTATTATTATTATAACAATTTATCACTGATCATTTGTTTGATTATTGTGTATAGCAGTCGGCGGGACATATTATCCTCCACAGGCCAATCCAAAAACTCATCTTGGAACGTAGGGTAAACCGTATAGCTATTGCCCACTTAAAGATTTCAAACTCATTGAGATGAAAAATTAAAGAAAGTATTTTAATTATCGACCATTTATAACTTTTTTCTTATAACTCAATAAACTGTTAAACAGAATATTAACAGTTTTTAGTTAAAACTTACGTAACTTAGAAAATATTGAAATAAATTTAAAATCCTCCAAAAAGTACAGTCATTGCCCATTACATACACTAATTGCCCACATCAAAGCACAGTAATTGCCCAGTATCTTTAAACAAAATAATCAATAATCAAAAATGACAAAATAGGCTTTAAATAAATAAAACAAAACATTAAACTTAAATTCTAGTAGTACAGTCTTCAAAATTTCAAAATAATTTTTTTTTTAGTGTTTCCTATTGTAAATTTTAAATCTACTGTACATTGATCTCGGAGCCATCTACTTAGTAAATTCAAATCTAACTAGAGTGATTCAAAGTCAGCACCTGACAATATTATTCTTAAAGCGGGCAATCACTACCAGTGGGCAATCACTCTCTGGTTTACCCTACCTTAAGAAAGCCTTATTCTTTTGTGTACAAAGAAGTTAAAATGTAGGCATCTTCCAAAGTAAAATTTGGGATTTTATTTTGATTTTATAAGTTCCAATTGGCGTTAACGGGGAATAGTGAACAAAAAGTTCACTAATCCCCGTTGACGGGGATTTGTCAATGGGGAATAGTGGAATAAGCCTAAAATTGGTTGTATGTACAATTGATTACACCCTGTATTTCGTTTTTGTTGTGTCCCGCCGACTCTCGTGACTCGCGCCTCAGTAAAGTGAACCTCCCACAACTAAAGGCTTTTATTTACATCCCTCTACATACCCTGTATATTACATAGAAGATAAAAATACTACACTCGTCTTCTAATAAATTCAATACGAGCAGCGCCCGCTCGTGGCACGCTACCATGCCATTTTGGTTGTCCCAAAGTGCTTAGAATAGGGGAATTGCCAGTATTAAAACAGTAGTGTGTAGAGTTAACTGCACACTTGGCTGCGATGTGACGTCACGGCTGCCAGGTGCGGAAGGATAATCTCATAAAAACAAAATTGTGTAACAAGATTCATTTATTAAAATATTCAAGATCTCTCGACATGACATAAAGTAACTTAATTCTTACTTCACTCTTCGATATGAACCTTTCTTTGAAAGAAATGGAAGAACACATTTCACAAAACAGCCTCTGCCCGCCGAAACCATACACTCCACACAGCATTCAACATAAGCGTAGCACAAGCAAGAATGTATTAATAAAGAGCACAATCTAACCGAGTGAAGTACATTTTTTTATACAGGGTGTTAGGTATTTGTATGCCCATGTTAACATGGGCTAGTGTCATGTCGGCTCATATACCCATTTACCAAACACCCTGTATATGTAAGGAATTAATTTCAGTTTTGGCAATATAGATTAAAGGAGTGTTTTAAATGTATGAAAGTTAAAACACATAAAAATAAAATATTTCGTAGGTATGTGGAAGTAGGCGTGCACGTGACGTCACATAATACGCGGTATTTTTAAGAATGGAAAAAAGCATGCACGTTCCTTTGTTCCTAGGGCGGGCATCGGGCTTTAAGAGGTAGTTAACATACTATTTACACTTGAATCAAGTTCCTATAAACACAATGTGACACTTTCTGTCGTTTGTTTGAAAAAGTCTCCGTCGTTTATTAAAACGTACGTTTATTACATTAATCGAGTAACAATATTGCTTTATGATCAATGTATTTAGTTTAGACTGAAAACTTACAAGGATAAAAAGCCAATCAGGATTACATATTTGAAATAAAAATTTTGTGTCCTAGGAAATGTATACAAAACCTTGGCTGTGTAACGTTAATAAAGAACGATACACATTTCTTGTATTTGTATACATTTCCCAGTAGTTTAATTATGTTAATTGGTCATATGCATTATCACGTTCAAAGCTTCTTAAGCATAATATTAACATAATGAAAACATTTTAAAGTAGGCACATAATCCTCAATCCATAATAAATTGTTGGAACATTTTATGCAATGCTAAAATCGAAAATAATAAACTTGTCTTTTTAAAATACTAATGGGAATCCATTCAGTTACAATTTGACAGATTTATTAATATCATACATACTTGAACACATGAAAAATCACTAAACTAGCTTTAAAATTAACGAAACCACACGAACGTTCTCCGATACATGATCAAATCATGATTTTATTAAAAATATTTCAATTTATATTTATTTTTAAATGATTCAAAACTTCTATACGACCGACCGGCGTGCCTACAGTCAGTGTCAAATAATTCTGTGACAACCAAAGTGGCCAAAAAGATGACAAACTTTTATTGTAACACAGAAGTGTTGCGATCTTTTTGGCTACTTTGGGTGTCACTAACTATTTGGCGCTGACTGTACTACAGTCGACAACAAAATGGTGAACCGGCCACTTATAATGCACTTGGACGTCAGCGGAGCACTGCGTTAGGGTTGTACAACTTTCTCGTCCGTGGTTGCGATTTGTCGCGAGTCTTTGGCTCGTGCGTCCGCGGCTTGTCGCGAGTGGGGGACTTTTCAGACTTTTGAGATTTGTCCCGGGTACGCGATTTGTCGCGAGTGCTTGACTTGTCGCTAGTTTGAGACCTGTCTTTGGTCTGCGACTTGTCCCGGGTACGCGATTTGTCTCGGGTGGGTGACTTATCGCTCGCTTTTGATTTGTCTTTACTGTGCGACTTGTCCCGGCTATGCGATTTGTCGCTCGTTTGTGATCTGTCTTTAGTGCGCGACTTATCTTTGCGAGATTTATCGCGAGTGTTCGACTTGTCCCGGGTGGGTGACTGGTCACTCGTTTGAGATCCGCCTTTAGCGTGCGGCCTGTCGTGAGTACGTGATTTTTCACTCGTCTGAGATTTGTCTCCGTGCGACTTGTCCCGGGTCCGCAACTTGTCCCGGGCGGGAGATTGATCGCTCGTCTGCGATTCGTCTCGGACATGCGACGAGTTACGCGTACGTCTGGACGATTTCTCCGGTGTTTTGTCCCTATTTTGTAGTACAGGGCTGGCAGCGGGCGTGGATCGTGACCGCGCCGCGAATTGGCGAGTCAGCTGTTCATAAGTAGGCGTGCGGGACAACTCGCGCTTCTTGTCCCGTTTCATGACGGGCGTGTCCCCTTCCTTGTCCCCGTGTGTCCCGCGCGCGTCGGAGGATGCATGGTCACTCTCGTGGGCGGCGCTGGAGCGCAATATTCGAAGTTTCGGCATTTCCCGCGCCTGCGGGTTCGGACGGTTTTCTGGAAACAGATATTTATTTAATTTATTTCTTTATTTTGTTCATTATTTACCTTATTTATTTTATTACAACAGGTAAGTAAAGTAGAACATTTTTTTAGAATAAAATAGAAAAACCTTTATTTGAAACGAAAACACAAATGAAAATGAAAATTTCTTTATAGGCGTTGCTGAAGTGGCAATGGGCAGAGCACATAGTACGTAGAACTGAGGGCCGAGTGTGAGTTTACATCAAATGTCGTCACTAGTAAGCGCGTTAAAAAAATAATCGAAAATGTTAGTTCTTCAAAGTTTCCGCTAAGGGCGCTGTACAATCTGTCATACATTTAATGTCCCTTTTTCATGGAGTCGACATCGAATACGTTTGACGTACTCACACTACGCCCCCTGTCGGCCAGTGGGGCAGCAAGGAAATCGCAGCGTGGGACGTCACAAGGTAGACTAACGACCTCATAAAGGTAGCAAGAAGGCGCTGGATGCAGGTCGTTACTAACCAGTCAATATGGACACCATAGGAGGAGGTCTATGTTCAGCAGTGGACATTCTGTGGCTGAAATGATGATATAAATGATTTCTCTTGGCAGAGCGTGGTCACGTTAAGGCGTTGTTCACTCCGCACGATCTCCCGCCATCTCTCTATTGGCAGACTGTCTGGTGCAGTCTCATACGCCGTCTCCCACTGCCGATTTCACTTAGTCGGTCCAGCGCATTGGTGACCTGTCACGCGATGGGGTTCCTTCGACTTTCCCTTGGACGACCAGTCGTTCTATGGAGTTGTCATCCCGCCTTGAGACATGTCCGAACTATTGCAGTATGCGCGACTGTACTACGGCTGATAAACGCTGCGAAACCAGTGATACGAGATCCTATTTTAATTAGCTTTATTATAAAGTGACTCACCGGTGTCAGTCTTGCTTTGGTCCCTCAGGCCGCGCTCTGGCGACGATTCGGGCGGCGGAGGGCGCTTTCGGCGCGTGGAGGCGCCGGTGACGGGCGTCTGCGCGAAGATCGAGGCCTGCTTGTTGCCGCGCCGCATGCAGCCTGCACAATGCACAGGCTTAGCTTACGATTTACGATACAATAATATTGGGTAAAGTCCAGTCGCCGAGCAGACAGAATTTCGTCCAATGACCCCAAGCTACCCATCCTTATCTCTCGCGCGTAATTACATTGCTGTCGCGACTGTGCGACGCGCGGCCGCAGTGAGTGTGCGAGCGCGACAGCAATAACTTACGTGTGAGCGATAAGGATCGGTAGCTTCAAGTCATTGGACGAAATTTTATGTACTCGGCAACCGGACTTTAGTTGACACCGATAACCAATAGTGCTCTTTAAAAGAGTTATTCCACCCAGATGAATAATACAAAGAGGATTTTTAGTGTCCTCATTTCACGGGAACCTTTGCTGTCACCTTTGTTCACCTAAGAATTATTTCACCCAGGTGAACAGATGCGATGTTTTTTAATGATCAAGTGGATGGATTATTCCACTACTCACAAAAATATGTGAAGAAAGAAGGTCTACAAATTCCACAATATATGAACACAAAACCCAGTTCGGTCGCGTAAAATGTGCATTATAATGAAACCAGTGATAATACTCAATCAAGAAAAATTCAGAATCGATTGGGACTTTTTCGGAGCTTCTCTTTTAATGACTTTTCATACAACAAAAGACAGGTATTTTTAGCAGAACTAATCCTTGTATTACCAATCTAATAGATAAAATTAATCATATTTTACAACAGATTATTATAATAATAAAATGTGTTATAAAAATACTATCTTAGCGCAATAAATCACCTTTTATCTTAAAACTAAAATGATATTGTGGGTATTTGTACTTTTGCCAACAGAGACATCGGCCCATTAGCTCAGTTGGTTAGAGCGTCGTGCTAATAACGCGAAGGTCGCGGGTTCGATCCCCTCATGGGCCACTAAATATTTTTGCACGACTGGGTACTGGAAAATTTATTTAACTTTGAAATAACCGGTATTTATGTGTGAAGTTTGACAGATTTTGATGTTTGTTAAAGTAAAATACGGTGGTGCAACTCAGCTTTATTGTTTTACTAGCGACCTACCCCGGCTTCGCACGGGTACGAAGCATACTTAAAAACCTTCCTCTTGAATCACTCTATTCATTAAAAAAACTGTATCAAAATCCGTTACGTAGTTTTAAAAATCTAAGCATTATAGGGACAGACGGCGACTTTGTTTTATACTATGTAGTAATTGTGGTGCATATTAAAAAAAATGTATACAGATATAAATGTAAAACAGAATTTTATATTTCATGGAAAATTTATATTTTTGTTCCCGAAAAAAAAAAGATATTGGCCCATGAGGGGATCGAACCCGCGACCTTCGCGTTATTAGCACGACGCTCTAACCAACTGAGCTAATGGGCCGATGTTCGTTCGGGCGAAATAGTACGGTCAACGAGGAGATTCGTTGGCACAAGATGAAAATAGGTAATACAGATTACAGTAATACAATAATCCAACAAACATTGCGAGAAGTTTGGTATTTTTACCTAAACATGAAAATTGTTAATAACTCTGTGAAAACTGAAATTCTTCCGACGAAGTCGCGTGCGGTCACTAGTAAATAAATAAATATTAATTTAAAACAGGTTTTAACGCGATACGCAGATAGGTAACATTGAAATTTTACATGTATGTATTTGACTGACGTTTCGACCGAGTTGCACCGGTTCTCCAGCCAGCCTGTGACCACGGCCGGTGCAACTCGGTCGAAACGTTAGTCAAATACATGTAATATTGTAATAATTCAATTGAGCAACGCGAAAGTTTAGATTCAAAGATTCAAAGATTATTTATTCACCGAGATAATGTGGTACAATAAAATATGTGGTCTTAAATTAAAAAGAGGTGCAGCTTATCTCACCAGCGTAGCTGGCATGTGAAATTAATAAATAAATATAGGGTGTTAGGTAAATGGTTATATGAGCCGACACTAGCCCATGTTAACGTGGGCATATAAATGGTATGGTGAAGACAGAAATTTGATATCGTCATTTAATTTTTTTATATTTTCATACAAAATAAATTTTATAAAATCCAATTTGTATGAAAATTTAAATAATTAAAATGAAGATATCAATTTTATGACTTCACCATACCATTTATATGCCCATGTTAACTTGGGCTAGTGTCGGCTCATATACCCATTTACCAAACACGCTGTATGTTGTAATTCGCGTGTCTCACCCTGTGCGGCGGCGGCTCGCAGGCGGGCGATCTGCGCGGGCGGCAGCGCCAGGCGGCCCAGCGCCGGCAGGATGTGCCGCAGGTAGCGGTTGCGCAGCGAGTGCCACGTGCGGCCTGACACACGCAAACGAACGTTGCAATACCATCAAATCAAAATAAAATACACTCAACATCAAATAAACCGCACCTTTCGCGACGCGAACTTTAAAGAGTTTCTTCTGACACAATTATGGTACCCCAACAATATTGGTGTTATTTGAAAGCCCAATAAATATCCTTAAAGAAAAATACATTTCATTTCTAAATAAATGATTAACATATACCACAAATGTGACTTGAAAATAGACCTCACTTTGGGCTCACTTCTGGGATCAATTAGACCAATTTTTATGGTTATAAAACTAAATAAAGATCTCAAGTGTCCTCTTTAACAGATGGATAACGATTAATCCTAACTTAACAGTTTTATAGTCATAAAAAATGGCTATAGCGTAACTACCTATTTTTTGAAGAACTGACTCTGGATCCTTGTAAAGACACATTTTTGGGGTAAAAACCTTTCCTTTAATGAAATGAAGTTTAGAACTAGGCTTTCAAATGGTACCAACGTTGGTGGGAAGTGGGGATACATACGTTTGATAAGTGCTTGTCGCGGGAGGTGCGATTTATTTGATGCCGAGTATATTTATTTATGCAAGTAAGCTCCCAAAGAGCACTTTTTAGGAGGCGGTTCGCACCGCGACAGAGACAGGAGAAAGACACGAGGCCGAGACGGGACCCACGACCGTTATACAGGGTGGAATTTTGTAATGCCACCTGGAGGGAAAGTACTCTTAATACTGTAGATAGAAAATTTTACTCAAAGGAAACATTCCTTAATTTAGGAAAAGAAATAGAACTGCATTCAAAGATTTCTAAAAATTGGCTTGCCACACCTGGGAATCGAACCAAGTAAAATTTGTTTAAAATTACACCCTTTATTTTTATTGCATCGATCGTTATAGTCTTTTTCACCTAAGATGATCCGTATGACGTTTCGAGTTTGAAAGATTTAGAGATGTCACATAACTAAACCATAGCGATTTATCTATCGATTTTTTTCGAAGAGTTAGTAAAACCTACTTTTAGAGAAATATTTTGTATAGGTGTTATTTAACAAAAAACATGTTTTTTACAATTACAAATATTATTGTAACAATTTTTTATTGATAATATTCAAATTTCATGGTTCATGTTCAAAAAAACGATTCCTAAAAAGTACTGGTTCTGTTTCTTTAAATTAAAAACCATTAATTTATTTTTAATGCGTTTATTAAAGTCAATAATCGAAAAATATAGTTGATTTTTGTGATGTTTTTAATAACTAAGTATTCACTGCAATCGATTAATGAACCGCGGAAATAATCGATTTTATTATACAAGAAATACCCCAGCACTAAATTTATTCCGTTTCACACATTGCGTACATGAAATAAATGATATTTTTACATCGTATTTAATTAAAATATAATCAATAGACTCAGATTTTACTATATATTTCAAGACAAGGTAGTTATTTTTTTTTATTATATTGCTAATAAAATACAAATATTTTTTCAAAAATATTCTGCATATGTAGTATGCGTAATATGGATCCCACCAAAAACATTCTGTAAAAAACTAGCCAAGTCTCGATGGAGCTGCTTGTTTATCTCTAAAAAGTAATGAAATCTAGACAAAGTCGTGCCAAGTCTATGGTTCCTTACTGCGATTTCTTTATTATTATAGTTAATGTTGTGTGTCTTGGCCGTTGAAGGGTGACAAAACCAGGTGCTCCATGACACCATTGCACCAATCAGTGGCCTGAAAGCGAACCTTACAGTATAATAAACGAAATCAACGAAATGCAAATTACACAACATTCAACTTAATCGACGACTTTCTCTAGAAAGGAAAAAAATCTGGACACCGCTTGCTAGTGCTAGCGCCATCTAGCGGTGAGCGATACAGGCGAACACCACGGGGCCGGAGTAGTATTGATTATGAATGTGGTTACTCCAGATCTTCGATTTTCCTAGTTTTTATAGTTTTCCCTTTATGTGGCCATTAAACCCTAACTCTGTACCAAATTTCAGCCCTCTGAGTTAATGGGAAGTACTAGTTCTATTTTGATGATCATCAGTGAGTGAGTGAGTGAGTGAGTGTCGTAAATGCGAAACTTTGCTTTCGCTTAACTTCGGAACTAAATGACCTACAGACTTGAAATTTTGGATTTAAAGTATGTGATTATAGCTTACTAGATGACGAAAATTTCTGCGTTCTGGTCTTATCCAGAGGTTCTCAAATAGGGGCCTGAAAATGCGGCGAAATGGTTCCAGTAAAGGATGGTACGGCAGTGTTTGCTTCGCGCTCGACTTGGCGGGGGCACTGCCGTGCCCCCAGATAACCTTGAAGTGTCATACGGATCATCTTACGTGAAAAAGACTATAGGGTTAAGTGTAAGGATGAAATCTCTCTAACAAACTTGATAAATCAAATGAAAGGAAAACCATGCAATCTTAAATTATTTTAATTATTTACAGAAAATTACATGGTATGGTGGTGAATTTTCGAAAAAATTTAGAAAAACTTTGAATGCAGTTCTCTTTCTTTAAAAAATAAAGGAATGTTTTCTTTGAGTAAAATGTTCTATCTACAGTATTAAGAGTACTTTCCCTCCAGGTGGCATTACAAAATTCCACCCTGTAGATCGTTTCATCAACGACGACGCGCCCCACCATTATTTCGCTAATGTTTGAGTGTTACACGCACACTACAATAATGCCGCTCGGATCGCTCGGATCAAACTCCCCGCGCGACCGAGACCAACAATTGGTGGGGCGCGTCCGAGTGGATGAAACGGTCTTTACTCGTATTATGGCTAGTAAGATTTTACATTTCGTAAGGCTGCCCGGCTGTGATCTCCTATAAAATTACATCAAAAGTAGGTAGGGCCCAAAAGATAAGGAGACATGTAAAGTGCCCCATAAGGGCTACCTTTTCTTTTTTTATTATTTTCTATAATAATATTTTGACGTTCATAAGTGCCACTTGTAGTCTAAACTGAATAAATATTTTTGATTTTGGAGTGGAACCGGGTCTGCAGCTCCCCTGTGGCTGAAATGATGATGATGATGATGGTAACAATATTCTTGCGACTCACTGCGTCCGGCGATGGAGTAGAACCGTGTCTGCAGCTCCTGCCACACGGCGTTCCCGTTGACGAGCCGCTCGCGACCCGCCGACACCCACGACACGATGGCCTGGTCCTCCAGCGTGGAATACACGCGCCTGCCACACGACACACGGCAAACGTTACGACATATACGACGCACGACACGTGACGTCGTGTGACACGTGTAAAGTGTCACACGACACATGTAAAGTGTCACACGCCACGTGTTAATATCACACGTCACGTGTAAGGTATAGTTCCTGAACTGAACTGTCCTATCCATGACATTGACAGCGGGGCGCCACCGTCAATACCGGATCGCTGGTTTCGATTTTTGCCATGTTGGAAACCATATAGTTGAACGAAGGTAGCGCCCCCCTGTCATTGAGTTTGGTGGGACAGGTCAGCGTGGGTTATCTATATTACACATTCACACACCACATGACAAACGTCACGTGTTAAGTATCACACGCCATGTCACGCGTAACGTGCCACAAATCACATGCAACGTGTCACACGTCACGTGTAAAGTATCACACGCTACGTGTAACGTTTCAAAGGCCACACGTAACGTGTAACAACATCATACGAGTGATAATTTGTAGAAAATGTACAATGTTATTATAGCTTTGGCATCAGGCTAGTTCACAGATTTGTTAGAATTCGTTACTGTTTATTAAAATCTATGCCAATGTAGGCGTAAGCTCGTTCAGTGTCCACTAATAACAAAATGATAAATGGCACTTAGTCCTTCTAATACTGGATTAAGGTGCAATCACTACTTGAAAATTAAGGCATGAAAAAATCTAATAAAAAAGTATAAAATTGTAAAACACTCACGAAGTTTCGCTGGGCTTAGGAGCAGCTCGTATCCGTTTCTTCAGGCGTTTCACGACTTTCGACACCTTGGCCTTCCTGGCGAACTCATCATCATAATTTTTTTCTTCGCCCGAGCTGGAGCTGATCACGGTGACGTTCGATTTGTTTCTCAACCTTTTCTTCATATCTTCAGCTTTATTCTCTTTATCTGTATCTTCGCCCGATGTTTTCGCGTTCGTTTTCGTGTTTTTGCTCTTCGTTTTCGTGGTATTGGAAGAAGATTGAACCTGATTCTGGTTTCTAGTCCTCATTTTGTTCGTGTTTTCGTCTTCGGATTCATCATTATCTGCAGTATGTTTCTTTTGGTTTTTCCTCCACAACGTCTTGTTCGTATCGTCGAACTCATCTGAAGATGTCGCCTGTTTAGCATTTTTGTTAGTGTTCGCTCTAACATTTTCGGTTTCTTCTTCATCGGAAGAAGACTCTGTTACCGTCTTTTGGTTATTAGTTTTAGTCGTTATTTTATTATTTACATCTTCACTGTCTGATGAACTTGAGTCTTCTCGAGTAGGATTTTTGTTTCTGAGCCTCATTCTGTTTATTGTATTGTCCTCATCATCAGACGAGGACACTTCGATATATTGTTTCTTTTTATCATTTCTTAAACTTGACCTTTTATTTCTGACGCCAGATTTTTTTAACTTTTTAACTTTTCTCTTATTCACTTCGAAGTCTTCATCTGAAGACGATTTTTGAGTCTTTTGGTTTCCATTACTTTCATCAGTAGAGTCGTCATCTTCATCAGATGAGGATTCTTCCGTATCTTCGACTTCACTTGACGACGAGCTTTCTCGCGAGTTTTTATTTTTTGTTTTTGCTCTATTAAGTTTATCCTCTTCATTGGATGACGTGCCATCAATCGCTTTCTTTCCATCAGTCTTAGTTTTCGATTTGTCATTTTTGTTTTCTGGTTTATTTGTGTTAATTTTATTTCCATTACTAGTTATACGGTTCGTATCATCGTCCTCACTCGATGAGATTTCTAGCGTGTTTTTATTTTTCATCCTTGCTCTATTGAGTTTATCCTCTTTGTTGGATGACGTGTCATTAATTGCTTTCTTTCCATTATTTTTAATTTTCGACCTATCGTTTTTGTTTTCTGGCTTATTTGCGTTGTCTATAGTCGTTTTCTTACTCTTCGTCCGTGCTCTGTTATTTGTATCGTCTTCATCTGACGATATGTCAATTGCTTTCTTTGCCTCATTCTTGGCTTTCGATCTGTCGTTTTTATTTTTATCTTTTTCAGAAGATGGTTTTTGTTTACTGTTATCGGTCTCAAATATTTTCTTTAACTTCTTAACTAATTCATCACATGCGTCGGAAGAGGGGCTACTAGATCTTTTTTCGTCTTCGTCCGAAGAAGTGTCCTGTTGTGTCTTGTTTGTGTCCATTTTAGGTCTAGTTACTCGTTTAGCGTCGTCAGCATCAGAGAAAGATGCCTTTCGTTTCCTTTCTTTATTCTTTTTATTAATATCCTCATCATCATCAGAAGAGGATTCGAGCAGCTTCTGTAATGCGATAAGTTTCTTATCCCTACTCAAATTAGTGTCTTTGGAATCGTGGTCATTTAACGTCTTTATTTGGTCTCGGTTTCTTCCTTCTCTCCTTTTCACTTTCTTATGTTTATTTTGGCTTGTCTTATTTCTCATTTCCTTATCCGTTTCGTCCGAGTCTTCAATTACTGTGACATCATTGTCGATTCGTTGCCTCATTCTGTACTTTGTACGTTGAGATTCGGGCTGCGACCGCTCGGCCACGGCCTTGAGCCCGAGCGTGGAAGCGAAGTCTTCGAGCGGCATGTCTTGACTGGTAGTCCGACCGCGGAGCATGCGTTCTAAACGCGCGCACCGCTCTACGCTCACGAGCGGGTTGATGCGGAAGAAGACGCGTAATTTGTAGGCCTCGTCGGCGTCGAAGCGGTACAGGTCGAAGGCCGGCTCGTGCGCGAGCAGGTAGGCGCGGTACAGCTCCACGTCATCTTCGTTGATCACCAGCTCCTTGCACTGCGCGTCTGCGGGCTTTGCCAACGAACGTTATGATAATATACAGGGTGTCGATTTCAATCCTCGCCATATGTATTTAGGTGATCTATTATATGTATAAACGCATTATAAAAAAAAATACAAACGAAAGTGGAATTTTTAGCGAATATTTTCCGTGCGAAATCAACTGTACTGTGGCTCGCAATACTGCAATAGTTAACACTGCGGCAGCGTTGAGCTATGCGGATCGCTCGCTTATCATGTCGGATAGCCTACTGAAGGAAGCCACGTAAAGTAGGTAGTGTAAATAGCTATTTTCTTTGAGTAACTAAAATTAAAGTTCGTTTTAAATTTTTTTCGAAGTAATTTTTTTTACTTATTAGTGATCAGAATAAGCTACTTAATCAACTCCTTAAATATGGCGAGTATTGAAATCAACACCCTGTAGATCGTTTCATCCACGAAGACGCGCCCCACCAATTTTTGGTCGAGGGAAGCGCGGGGTGCGGGAAGTTTGATCCGAGCAATCCGAGCGTCATTATTGTAGAGTGCGTGTGCACGCTCGATATTTAGCGTGTACCGATAACATTCAAACATTAGTGGAAGAATGGTGGGGCTCCTCATCGTGGGTGCAACGATCTATACTAAGGCTGAGTTTCAGCACCTAACTTTAACGATAGCCGGTGCCCTTTGTATGGAGTTTCACAGATTTTTGACGTTTCTTAAAGTTAAAGCAAGATGGTGCAAACCTAAGTGGTCAACGTTCGCGTGAGCTCAGAAATATGTAATCGATGCAGGCTAGGAGGAAGCGTTCAGTTTTAAGTGACGAAGAAATATGCAACAAAAATTTTGGAATAAATGTGTTTTATAATCGCTAGTTCAGCAGGACCTGTTCTGAAATATTCAAAACTCTTTTCGAAGATTGGCAGGTTGGCCGTAGTAAGTAAAATCTGGTCAGGTGGGGATTCTTAAACTTAAACATGGAGTGCAGGTGCGGTTTTGTTCCCCAGTCGATGAAGCACCTGATGTCATGCCCTGAGTGCCCAAACAACTGCACTCAGGAGGATTTGATGAGTGCTACTGACAACGCCACTCTTGTGGCGGAGTTTTGGGCTGACACTGTGTAGGTTTGTTGTCGACACGAAAAGAAGAAGAAGAATTGGCGATTTTGTGACATTTGGTTGTTGAATCACTGGCAATCACGCTTTAACATAGGAAAGATATGACATAATAAATTAAATGGTTTATGATAGTATACCTGTGTCAGACATATTTCATTTTGTTGCACAGCCTTCAACGGACTTCCGGAGTGTGACCGCTTGCGCTTCGCTCGCGGCTTTGAGTGGGGCTTCGGACGAATTTTCCGCGGCGACGACGTCTCTTGGACGAGTGGTTTACTCGGAGAGACATGGCTGGTCCTCTGGATGACGTCATGGTGTTGAGACGCGGTGGTCCCGGCCTGCGAGGACAGCTGGCCGAGCGATGACGTCACTTGCACTCCCGCGTCGGCTAGCTTTGACACCGGGGACGAGGTCGCGTACCTGACACATTATATAGGGTTTTAGTCGGCTATTGGCTATCAATACAGAATGTCCCATAAAGTTAGTGTCCATTCAGGACATGATAAAAGTTTTGAATTATTTTTTTCATGTTTTTGAAGTGATGTAGCTAAAAAGGCAGTTAGTACTTTAGGGGGCACCCTGTATGTTTGGAACGGAGTAAAATCGCCAGCTTTATTATTATGTGGTTAGTTTGCATTTGCTATTGCTCAATGATTCTTTAAAAATATAACATAATAAATTGTTACTCTGCTCATGACTCTTAAATTCACTTGAAATTCGCTTATGCAATGCTGGCAAGGGGTCACAGTTCTCAATCAATTTATTTCTTTGGATATAAGTTAATTCATCATCACTTACCATGATACAGGTGGGGTTGCATCAAACACTCACAGTATGATGTGAAACAAAATAAAATGATGTTTTTACAAGGATTCAGTGATTTACTATGTTTCAGGTCAAATTCCATTAATGTAAGCTTTCCTCTATTAAATGATTTGTGCAAGAAAAAAAAAGAGTTATAAATTATTTGGGTTATGCGTTGATTTGGATCCAAGCTAGTTTAAATTGAATACTCAATTATTTTGAATTATTCCAGAAAATCACTATTGCACATGGTAAGTCCAAGATATTACAAGGTATAAAGGAATTAACAATTTAACTCATGTACAGATGCAACATTTTTAAGAGAACCAAACAAAGTACTAGTTGTAGTGAACTAAGATTAAAATTGGTTGGAAAATAGGTTTAATGTGAGTGTAACTCTGTATCTATGCGCTAGCATGTCTAATGAAAATCTAAATAAAGTTGTAATATACACAACACAACTTTGGAAGAACACACAATCTCTCTTGCTTAAAATTAGCTCTCATTTGCATAAAATATAATACAAATAATAATAGTTTAAGAATTCTGTTGTACTAGCAATATCTGCAGTAACTCCATTTTTTGGCAAAACCATAATGAGATCTATTTCAGATGGGCTGACAGGAGTTTTTTTAGAGCAAAATATTGGAGTTACTGCTGATATCGTTAGCACGGCAGAATTGTGCTCTTGTTCTACCAAAGGTGCGCCATGTATTATTATGGTTAGATAGAAAGATTATTTCAATTCATCAAATGGTTTATTAGTATGTGATTAGCAAGCTGTTAGTAATGATGCTAATGATACGCCGCGACGGCAATGCAAGTTAGTTAACCAAGAGCTGTCTCAGTACCCGTGGCGGTGAGCGTCCCGGCAGCAGTGGTGGCGGCACCGGCAACCGGCCTTCCTCGACACAGACTGCCGCTTGGACCTGCAAATTACAAATGATCGTGGGAGTGAGCTGATGGTGATGTTAGAAATAGTAAATCAATAAGTAAAGTAAGTAATACTTCATACAAAAATATAGTTCTACGTTCTACTTTTTTGAATCTCATAATCGTGTTAATGAAGTTAAAAATGTTCAATGACTGCCTGATAAAGGGCAAAGGGAATGCTTAATATACACCCAGATAAGAAACTGATACTAGTACTGGAGACATTTTTGTGTTACTTAAATTATTGGTCTTATAACAAAGCAGCTCACTCAGCCCACTGCTTATCAAGTAAGCAATTTCGATGTAACAAAAGACTACTTTGTTATGTTTATTTATGTTATCTTTTGGTAGTTAGTTAGCTTTTAACTTGTTAGAACTTTTTCTACCAGGACAAATTAAGTGTTACACACAAATAATTCTAAGAATTGGTGACATTCCAGCCTGTTTATGACGGGCAAAGTCTCTGCATCGACGATAAATCTACGTTCAAGCATACAAACAATGTATCATCTGTTTATCATGTCAAAATGCAAAGCCGGAGGTGTAAACATTGATCAGACCTGGACTTCTTCCAGAACTGCGAGAGCGGGGCTCCGTCGCGCACCGCCGAGGGCCGGCCCGCCGCCAACGCTCGCAGAGCCCGAAGCACCGCGGCCGAGCGTGCGTACTGCAGCCGGCCCCGCGAAGAAAACACGAAGCGCGCGCGCCGCCGCCAGCCCGCCACGCGCCCCGTCGCCGTGTCCACCGCGCACCAGCGCCCGCCCGCGTACACGAAAAACTTCGCCGTCATTATCACAGCATCACACACACAAAATCACAACTAAATTACAAGAAAAACAACGATTTTTGATTTGCGAACTCGCAAAACAAAACACCGCCAAATTTTACGCGTCACAGCTTGACAGTAATGACAGTTGACATTTGACGTTTGACAGTTATTTTTTAGGGTTCCGTAGCCAAAATGGCAAAAACGGAACCCTTATAGTTTCGTCATGTCCGTCTGTCCGTCTGTCCGTCTGTCCGTCTGTCACAGCCGATTTACTCGGAAACTATAAGTACTACAGTGATGAAATTTGATGGGAATATGTGTTGTATGAACCGCTACAAAATTATGACACTAAATAGTAAAAAAAAGAATTGGGGGTGGGGCCCCCCATACATGTAACTGAGGGATGAAAATTTTTTTTTCGATGTACATACCCGTGTGGGGTATCAATGGAAAGGTCTTTTAAAATGATATAAAGTTTTCTAAAAAACATTTTTCTTAAAGTGAACGGTTTTTGAGATATCAGCTCTCAAAGTCGTAAAAAGTATGTCCCCCCCCCTCTATTTTTATAACTACGGGGTATAAAATTCTAAAAAAAATAGAGGTGATGCATGCTAATTAACTCTTTCAACGATTTTTGGTTTGATCAAAGTATCTCTTATAGTTTTTGAGATAGGTTGATTTAACTGTAATTTTGGTTAAGTTATTGTGCTTACACTGAAAACGATGGCTGAACCTTATAAGATAGATCAAAAAATATACTACAGTATTGTACACCTTTTAAAATCCGCGATGATATAAAATCTTTATAATGTAGGTACTTTTTACGAGAAATATTAGCTTATTCAAGCAATACGCCATTAATCCTTATCCAGTAATGTACCTTAAATACATTGTGCATTTGATAAAGTTTAATATTACAAATGTGATTGTTGAGTAATAATAGGTTAAACATATCCATCGAACCAATATTTTTAAAACGCGTTAATCCTATAGATTATTATTACATCGATTCAAGAAGATCGGTCGCTCGCTGCGCTGCAGCGCGTGAGTTGCGGGGCGTGGTCTCGCGCGGGAGCGGGGATAAGATAGCTAACCGCGTCGACCCGAACGGGCAGACACGTGAGGGCAGACGTCGTTGTCACTTGTGCGCGCTAAGAGAATTTCATCGTTCCCATTTACTTCTTTCGCAAGTCGAATTTGGCGTTGAGACTTTTTAATATTGAATTGTACCTATTATAAAAAATAAGTAAGTAGGTATACTGGTTTAATAGGTGCTATTAAACCGGTCACGTACTAATAAATCCCCCAATAATATAAATTCCTTTGTTTTTGGTGCAAATTTTAGTGTTTCGTAGCAGGTTTTTAAAATTTCTAAAGCTTATTGTATATCATCTAACAATGGATACTTTAGATAATACGTTTTCCTACATTCTGAATTATAATAACTATATCGAAGATGATGTGGTTCGCGCATTTCATGAAAAGTTACTTCGGTGCACATCATTTAGACCGCGTGAGCTAGAATTATTTCAACACCCTGAACTGATTGAACCTGTACCTAAAAATGAGACGCACCTTCAAGTAATTTATGACGGTGACGTGGGATTAGTGGGGCACTGGAGTTGTATTTATTACATTAATGGAATACTGCGTGTGTACGATAGTCTTGTTGGTGTTCTAGGAAAATCGCAAAAAATATATGTAAAAGCCTTGTTTCCGTATCTATCGGAGTCATGTATTCAGTTTCCAAGTGTTCAGCGACAACCGAATACTATTGATTGTGGTTTGTTTGCCATTGCTTTTGCCACCTCTTTAGCTCGGAATATTTATAAATACATATATAAAATTAATATTCATACATAAAAGTACAAGGCAAAATATCGGGAGAGTTTAGGCTCCATTCACCAGGTGTATAAATTGACATAATAAGTTTATTATATTTGCTGCTACGGAACCCTTTGTGCGCGAGCCCGACTCGCACTTGGCCGGTTTTTTAATACAAGTCTTACGGCTTTGGAAGTTTCCTTCACAGCCAGAGCTTTAGCAAAATTGTCTTTTAACCGACTTTAAAAAAGAGGAGGTTCTCAAAATTTTGTCATGTATTTTGTTAAAACTGAATAAAATATTTTTGATTTTGTTTTTTGTATTTTTTGAACAATCACGCTGACAAAGTGGTAAAATAAAATCTTGAAAAATATTTTTTTAAGATAGTTAACTTGTTTATAGCCTGACCAGGAACATAAAAACCCTCGCCATGTTGCGGAAAACTAATGGTACTAATTTCTTTTAATGGCAACAGTAACTGAAAACTTCATTGACATGTCACCTTGCATGTCAGTCTATTGCTGTCAAAGTGTAAACAAACTTTATTTTAAATGTGCGCAATTGATTTTGTGAATTAAATTGCTAAAATCTTTTTATAGTCGTGAAAGAAAAGTGGTTCACAATGTGTTAAAGTATTTGTCGAAGAGAAATACTAAGGGTTCGGACAATATTTTCATTGAATAATGTTTCCGACAAAGGTTGTCAAATTGACTGACATGTTTATCGCATAGTACAGTCCACTATGAAAATTAGCTGTGGTTTGTTTCAACTACTTAATTTTAAAAAAATTGTCACTTTATAAGTGTTGAATGAATTTTATGGAATTGGGAAAGAAGTACCGAGTTTGAAGCGTTCATGAGCAAACATTGCAGTTGAATATTCAAGTTCTGAATTTTATTATTGATGAATAATAAAATAAATCCTACTAGCTCGATTGATGGTTTCATTTAATTTATTTAAACCAGGTTACTTATAATAATATTTTTTCGTTAATTTATGAAAATAGCAAATTAGCCCGTAATCCTGAATCCTGATACATAAAGTTAGCCTATTAATTTAACACAGGTACGACTGTACTCAGTGTTGCACTATCAAATGCAATTGACGCGCCTCTATGCCAGGGTTTTTATGTTCCTGGTCAGGCTATACATTTATTTTGTAACGTGGTGATGAATTTATTTTTACCGCATATCGTGTGGGGCAGTGTGGGGTATCGATGAATAAGTAGGAACTTTATAATAACTTAGGGGTTGCTACGACTATTTTTCGACTTAGGGATCTTTTCATGCCAATGTGGGTATTCGTATTTTTTCTTTTGTCTTACGTACCCACTTCTGTCTAATAATTATATTTTTACCCCGCTATTATTCGCTGTTTTCTACACTATTCTACGAGCTGACGCGGCTTACTCCAGACGCCGTCGCGCCGCTTCGGAGTCACCGCCTCTTCTTTCTGGAACCTTCTATCGTAGAAGTCCACACCGCTGACTTGATTGGGCTTGAACTTTTCTGCTAACGCCGAGAGCTGAAATATTGTGGAGTGTATTTTGTGCAACATGGAAAGCATTTGGGGAGGCCTAAGTTGAGCAGTGGACATCCTATGGCTGAAATGATGATGATGATGATGTACTTATTTTGTGAAGTGCGCTTTAACCCCGCTGCCTTGATTGACTGAGTCGAGGCTGGTCCTTCATCATCTTCCATCTTCGTCGCACGTCAGCTCCACATAAGCCAGTCCTGGGTTTCAAAAGTTTTAAGACGCTTTCGGGAGACTGGTGGCTTTATCCCGAGACCAAGTTCTGAACAGCGCCGGTGCATATTGCAGAGGGATGACCGTTTTTTCATGTCAACCTCTCTACAAAATTGTCATTTAACTGATATCGACATCCAGAAAGAGCTCAAAAATGTTCGTGGGATAGCTGTTAGCGAGTGGACAGTTTGTCTAAGATAATATAAGCAATCGAATTTGATTCTAAAAAGGCCTGCCACAGGCTCGAAACTGACGGCAGGTCACCGACAAACACACCTTCAATTTGCTCGCACCCATTTTGATGAGAAGGCGAGTAATGGAGGCGAGTTTTGTTCTCCGATGAATGCAGACTGTGTTTGAAGTACAGCAGTCGAACAGGTCGGGTCTAAAGGCGGCCTGGGGAGCGATTTGTGCAGTGCTGGTTCGCTGAAACAGTGGCTTATGGGGGTGGCTTGCTCGACTTCTCATCGAGATGGGTACGAGCAAATTGAAAGCGTGCTTGTCGGTGCCGTCAGTTTCGAGCCTGTGCCTGAAATTCGATTGCTTATATCTTAGACAAACTGTCCACTCGCTAACAGCTATACCACGAACATTTTTGAGCTCTTTCTGGATATCGATATCAGTTAAATGACAATTTTGTAGAGAGGTTGACATGAAAAAACGGTCATCCCTCTGCAGTGTGCACCGGCGCTGTTCAGAACTTGGTCTCGGGATAAAACCACCAGTCTCCCGAAAGCGTCTTAAAACTTTCGAAACCCAAGACTGGCTAATGTGGAGCTGACGTGCGACAGCCCGCTGGCTGAGTCCTTCTTGCAATAGTGCAACGATTTGTGCTGCTTTAGTAGGTGTAGAATCCCAGGTACATAGCATAGTGTCAAAAGAAGCGGAGATGTGTAGGGATCAACGTGTGAAAGCAAAAATCCAAAAACAAGTGCTTTTATAGGGGGTAAATAGGCCGCAACTCGCGACGTATCAAACAGTTGATACAAATGTCTTTTTCCTTACTTCTTCACATCAGCCGGGATATCTTTTTAAATACTGGTGTGATTTAGATGAATTTGGTATCAATTTAAAGTTAAAGTTTAATATTTAAAATGGTGCTACTTCTATTGTTACTAACAAATTCGTTAGTACACAAGATCGCGTCGAAACAATTTCATGTAAGTGATTCCACACTTTTGCTCGCGAGTGTACATTAATTGCTAAAAATATTTTTTTTCTGTTTCAGATTCCCGAGCACAGTATGCAGCCGTCGCAGTCGGTAAGCCGCCGGTAAGTTACTAAGTTGTTGTCTTCCCATTATAATACATACATCGTCGCAATCAGGAGCGGTCACAATAAAATTGAATTATTAATTGGGCAAAATGTCAATTATTGACAAATAAGAGTTAAATGCATTTAAAACTAAACTCAGATATCTTCAAATAATCCCTCAATCACCATTTTGCCCAAATAAACTAAAAACCGCAAAATTAATTTTTGGCCAAAACGAAAAAGTCTACCTGCCTAAAGAAAAAAGGGTGGGTGGGCGGGCTAATTTTTTAACTTTTTGACGTCGGAT